CACAGCTGCCAATTCATCAAACCATGAGACGCACAATATGGTTCACAGTTTTCCTCACACCTTACGCGGCTCATCATGTGAAAGTGACAAACGCTGTCCATCTTTACTGATTTAAAATGAGACCTGACCAAAAGTGTGTGGCTGTTACGGGTCAGAAATGAGTGTTACATGCAGAAAAGCAGCTTATGCAAATGCATTCAGTAATAACAATGTTTGAGCAGCTACAGACAGAGGAGAGACAGAGAAGGGAGGAGAGAAAGAGTCGCTAATTACACCAGGGCACAGTCGAACGCGGGGAGCACAATATGTCAGCAAACCATTTATACATACCAGCACAATCAAAAGTAATTCCTGATGGAAAGAACTATGTCTACATGGTGGAATAAACCACACAACTTGAAATATAGCAGTACTTTCTAGTTCTTGGTACATGTGTTTTTTTGTAGATGGATAGAGAGATACTTTGTTGATCCCCCATAGGAGAAATTAAGGTTCTAGCAGAAGAAAACACATCCATATAAATACGTAAGTACAAAACATACATATAGTCTGACATCCGAAGGAATCTCTTAAAATGTTCTGTTTGGCAACACAGTGATAGGAGCCTGTTGCTACGATTACTCCTCTGAGCGGCCATAGTGTCATGCAGAGGGTGTCTGGAGTTACCCAGGATGCCCTGCATTAGAACCCTTATCCTTCTCTCCAGCACAGCTCCCATAGAGTCCACACTTCTCCCCCTCACAGAGACACAATTCCTGATCAGCCGGTCGAGCCAGTTACTAAGAACACAGAACTAGCTACAGCAGACTGGAAAATAATGTGCAACATCTGACTGCTGACCTTATGTTGTGTACATGAAGCTTAAGCATAAGTTCAAATTGGTAGACTACCTACGTCATGGCACTGAGCCCACGCCTTCCTCAGCCTCACATCAGCTTCATCAACTCCCTGCCAGTTGCTAATCAAGACAGCACTTAAAAGCTGGACACCGCACCAAACAGCCTTTCAAGCCGCAACCACCTCCTCTCCACCTCTGCCTCAAGATTTCTTCACACGCTCACATCCACCTTGCCCTGTCGCCACCACCAGTGTCCAGGCCCCGGGGGATCATGATCTGCATTCAAGCATACAGTAGATCCTCACAGAGCAAGGCCACAGCCCGTGCGCCAAACTAATAAATTACAAACAAAACTCGCAATCAATAAATATTCTAATCTCTTGTAGTTTCTCCAGGTTGAACTATGGATGTGAGTTGGTCATCAAGAAGGTCCTAGGTTTGGTTCTACCTCAGGACGAGGCCTTTCTGAGTGGAGTTTGATTTCCTCCAGGTGCTACAGTTAAATATGGCCACATAAAATTACTTGGACATGTCTGACTGAGAAGCAGCTCATTTTGCAGGTCTGTCTTATACTCCATCAGTTTTTGCTTTCACCAATTCAATTCCATTCAATTTATTCTTGTATAGCCCTAAAGAAAACGATAAATTCGTCAACACAGATCAGAGAATGAAACAGTTCAAAGACAAGAAATGTGATGGTGAAAACACATATAGAGCCAAAAGGGGCAGATGACCAATGTTGATAAATGTTGATAATTGTTGATAAATGTTGAAAAATGTTGATAAATGTCCATAAATGTTGTTGAATGTCCAGTGTCCTGGATCATCACTGTCACTGTCCTAGGGCCCTTCTGCATTAGCAAGGAAAAACTCTAAAAACCCTCCCTATTTTTCACACTCATGCACCCAAAAGCATTTAATAATCATTTACATCATCACCAAAATGTACAGTAGATGTGGCGTTTGTGTACAGGAGTGGCTGTGTTTGTGCCTCTACCGTGCAGCGTGTGCTGGTGGCGGCGGTGGCCTGGTTGATGTGAGGTTGATGTGTGTTCGTGTGTGGGAGTCTGACAGTTCTGTGTGAAGCTGTAAAATGGCCACAGTCTCTTTGTAATGTAACCACAGAGCTGCCCTGTCTCCCTGGAGATGGTCATGTGTGATAGCAAACATACTTTTGTCTCAAGTTTAATGTTGTTGTGAACAGGGGTTGGTTTAGAGTTCACAAAACCACAAATATACAGTATATTCCCAATGAATAAAAGGTGCTTCCAAATCAGATATTAAAGACAGACTTTATTAAAGGCAATATACTACACTGTAGAGCAGACATGTCAAACTCAGGCTCGAGGGCTATATTTACTTGGGAAAACCACCAAACCATGTAATTTATTATAAAATTTGAACCAAACACATCATTAGAAGTTAAATAGTTCAATATAAAGCAATGAACAAACATTATATTTGATCCAGTTTTGGTTAAACACATTTTGTTTTCAGAAAAATCAACCAGAAAATAATTGTGAAACTCATGTCACATAAAAGTCATGTCAAAACACCTTCATAATAATAATAAAAATATATATAAGAAAAGGAAATCCCTTATTTTTTTATTCGACTCCAGACCAAAATGAGATTGACACCCCTGCTGTAGAGATTGAGGCTTCCAGCAAATAAGGACTAGTATTTGGAAATCAGTGCGGCTGGAACTCGTCTGGAGCTTGTTCCATCGTTCACTTTCTTGTGTACGCCGCTTTCCCTGACGATGCTCATCCTCACACCTCTTCCCATCTCGGAGGTGAAAGCATAAATTAAGTGGCTCCCTTTGATGAGCTAATATATGTCTGTCACATAGTTGCTGAGCTATACGCTGAGAAAACCAGAGTGTCATTCCACCTGTCATTCCTCCATCTGTGTGACCCAGAAGCTGCTGCACAACCCCCGAGAATCAGCGGAAGCAAAAAAAGGAATCTGTCTGTCCTCTGTCGCCTATGGAAGCACTGCCACATTTAAACACCTGAGCTGCCAATCATTCATTCAAACAGTGACTTCCCTCAGCTTTCAGCTCATGCCATAACCCTCCTCCTCCCCACAACACCTCTGCAGAAGGACAATCCAATACTGCATTTAATTTTCATCTGTATTCATACTCCCGCCTGTATACGTAATTCCATATTTCTGCCAAGAGAAAAACCATATCCAATATGCCATGCACCAGGAGCCAGGATCATGGAGCAACTAGAATGTACGTGAAATAACACAAATTATATATTTCATCTTTGTACTGTTCGATTTTAGAGTTAACATTTGGATTCAAAACCATGCAGGTGCTGTCAGTTATACAGCTACCAGTAGTCAAGGTAAGTTTAAGTTAATATTTAAGTGCAACCACACATACAGCTGAGTAACATTATGGCATCTTGAGGGTCAAATTCAATTAAATTTATCATTGAAATGCATATAATATTATTTCGGTTGGATTAATTCAAAATTTTCTTAATACATTTATTGATTCATAATATTGTAATCAACTATGTTTTCAACTGAATTTGTCAATTTCTTACTCTCAATGGGTTTACACCAGAGCTCATGGCTTCAGAGGAAAGAAGTGAATTCATAATTATATTGAGAGAATAAAACACAAAGGAATTACTACTAAATGATGAGAAAGTACAACACATACAGACACAATTCTTAACTGTGTCCTAAAATATCCAAATGTACAGATTTGTAAGCGTTGTTCCAGTGAGACATCTGCCCCGTCACTTTGCCTCTGGTTTGTCCTTCTGAGTTGACAGCTCTGAGTTGGAGCTGCTCTCTTGTGGTGTTCAGCTAATCTCCTGCACACTGCTTATCCACAGCTACACGTCCCGCCATCTTTAGCTGTCTTATTAATGTCCCGCTCGTGCTGCAGCCTCAGACAAGTGCCCTGTCACTAAGCTCTCCCAAAAACCTCCTCCACCACTCAATCACCGACCATACAATCGCTTTGCACCACAGCAGCTTTTGGTATATACGCTCCTGGGGGCATTATGATAACCCAGATACACATAAGTTAGAAAACTCTAGGAAGCTCAGTTCAAATCTCAAAAGTGTGCATGAAACGCCAAAGGGACAAGGACTAGCATAATTACAGGCAACATCTAAAAAAGGACTTGAATTTGTAGATTAATTTGCATATTTGTCTGAGCAATATTGTTGCTTAAATTGTACTATCAATGAATAATTGGAATTTTTATTATTTTTATTATCATTATTCTTTGGTCATGGTTTTTGTGTATTAATAAATATTAATTGTTTCTTCCTAAAATAGTCTACATTTTGGTATTTCTGGTAAGTGCTATTCACTATTTACCTACAGACAGATGGGTTGCCAGATCCAATTGATATAACTTGCTTCTAAAGGGTCATTTTGTCTTTGAATGAAAGCCTAGTTCATTATGAGCTAATGAAAACAAATGGCTTTGCTCTGAACATAGAGGCATGATACATCCGAGTCAAGTCTATTCATCACTGTTGCTCTGGTCCTTTTCATCCCTCTTGGTTGCCTTGGTGACGCTCACATCAGCAAAGCACAACTGTCTTAACCAGCACATACAAATTACATACGGCAACATGACTATAGAGGACCCTTTCACTAAATGTCCCTGGTTGAAATAGATCTGTTTTTAAATGCACCACCACCAATGCACCACAATGTATTTATATTGATAATTTAGTGGCAGCTTTTCTGATCTTTGCTGCAAAAATATGGATGTTTTGAGATATCTGTTATCTGAAAAAATATCTGTTTAGCTGTGCATACAACTGATTCTATGTATAAGAATTTTAAGACCAATACATTTATGCAAACATGAAATTATTGTATATTGATGAATCTCAGTGCCTCATTTTTAGTCCATTGTTGTTTTCTTACCCATGTCTTGTCTATTTCAGTTGTTACTTTTAGATTTATTTTGAGACATCCTCATTGACATGTAAGTGTTTTCATAATATGTGATTTGTTTTAATTGTTTACAACATCTGCTGCCTCTTCTCTAGTCCCATTGAGATGAAAAGGTTCTTACTGAAATCTCAACGGGACTTTCACTGGTTAAATAAAGTCCTTCCTCATTTCACCCCAGACACAGACAGAACTATTCAAAGACAAGTTAGTCGTACGCACCTGCCGAGGAGAAGGAACTCTCCGGAGACCCCCAGCCTCCTCATGGCCATCAGCAGGCCTCGCACCGTCATGCCCTCGCAGAAGCAGACCACCACTCGGGCTTTGGGAAGACGCTCCCTCAGTTTCCGTAGCAGCCGGTCGAAGTGGCGTTCTCCAGCGTTACTGTAGATCTTGTCCGAGTGAGCGATGCACAAACCCTCCTGAGAGGCGATCTCTTTAAAGGCCTCCATGCCACTCTCTCCGTAGTTTCCTGTGGGTGAAAATATAGATTTTTAAAAGAGGGCAGGTTGCAGATGTTTGCTTTAGCGTTTATCGAATGGAATAGAAAGTACTGAACAAATGCATAGATGGCATGCATTTTTAACATTGCTTGAGAGAGGAGGGCTGTGTGATTGCAGTGTGTGTGTGTATGTCTATATATATATATAAATGTGTGTGTGTGTGTGTGTGTGTGTGTGTGTGTGTGTGTGTGTGTGTGTGTGTGTGTGTGTGTGTGTGTGTGTGTGTGTGTGTGTGTGTGTGTGCGTGCGTGTATGTATTTGTGAGTGTGTGCATGGGTTTGTATGTGGGTAGGATTGCGCAAAAAATTACTGGGTGGATTTATCTAAAATAGTGACAGTGGGGTGTGCGCTCTCCGAGATTCCCTTTTATTCCAGTCCAGTCTAACAGCCATACCTCACTTTGCAGAAAAAACCCCAACATATATACCCAATATAATCATAAATTACCACCTAGTTAAGTCTTTGGATCCAAAAAATCCTTAAATTGCACATATACAGCTGTGATAAGTCCCGCCTCCTTCACAGCAGCTGATGGGCACATGGAGGGGACTGATCCTCTGCTTAATCAGAGTCCGAGTTTAATAGACACTGATTACAGTTGGAGTCCAAATAAGTGAAGACAGTAGCAGCGTCACGCCTCGCCTCCCAAGAGTTTTAGTGTAAATGTGCCCTCACTGAACGGCAGCTGTGAGTCAAAGATGTCAAGAAAAAAAACTGTGAATTTTGCTCTGAAATGTGCAGTCACTATGGTCTGGTTTATGAATGGAGAATGTTTGTTCTAAGTCAATAATCACATCGGACACAGAATTTAAAAAAACCTGACTCAAAATGGTTTTTCTTTGGGTCTAAGGACGGTGGTGATAATCCAGGACACTCGACATTCAACAACATTTATGTGTTTTTTATCATTGCATTTCTTGTGTTTTAACTGTTTGATTCTCTGATCTGTGTTTTGGGCAAACTTTGACGTTTTGTAAAGTCCTCTTGGATAACCACTGTGGTAATTTAGGGCTATACAAGAATGAATCAAATGGAATTGAACTGGTGAATGCCAAAACAGATGGAGCAAAAGACAGACTTGCAAAAGGAGCAGCTTCTCAGTCAGACATGTCCAAGCTTAGTCATTTTATGTGGCCTTGCAAGCACAAAGTAGCCATTAAGGCAGTTCCACATGTGTCGCCAATTCCAGCTCCCGCAAATAGAGTCAGGCCATATATCTTGTTGGAAAGATAAGAACCTTTTGAATCCAGTTGTTAACGTTCTTGTTCACAGGGTTCATAAACAGTGCTAATGTCGCCGTGGTGTGAGTCAATGTAGACGTATCAAACCCCATTTTCAAAGCCTGGAACAACCCAAATCCAGTCAAAAAACGTTTTATATTCCAGGCTGTCAGTCCCTGGACAAGTCTGGTGAACTAAAGTGGTAAAGGTTTTACACGCTTACAGTTTAAAGTTGCACCCCTCCTTGAGCAAATCCTTTCAAATGCAATGCCAGTAACAAAACATGTCGAAGACTGTAGCGACAGGAATAACACTTTTGGACAGATTTTCAAAACGGTCAAAATTTGAACATAAAAATTAACATAAAACATTTAAAACAAAATTAAACTCATTTTGTAGAGCCGCCTTTTAAATGCAACAGAACAGAAGTTTTTAACCTGGAATTGAATATAGACAAATCCAGACATACAATACATCAGCCTCTCTAAGCTTCACACTTTTTCTCACGAACAAAAAGTATAGTGTATATATAGTATAGTAAAGTATAGTGTTCATTTTGTACAATGTCAAATACACATTCGTCCATCTGTGTGTGTGCGCATGTGTGTGTGTACGTATGAAGGAACGTGTCTAAATGGTTTGAAATGGCCTTTGGTAATGAATGATATATCTGTGTGTTGGTTTCGAATCGAAACGGCCGCTGAAAAACCATTATGAAAACACGTAGCCCCACTGTTTATTTAGCATCGGTCCTCTTCTGATGAATCACATATAGTTCACTGTCCTTTCACTGAATGGAAATGATCATGTCCAATTACTGCAGGGGAGACTGGGGAACAGGTGGGTGGCGTGTTGAGACTGGTGCTGTATTGACAATGACTACACCAAAATAAGGCTTTTTGTATCATAATGATCATCGTGTGGAGTCAGGTAATTTATGCAATTGCACACAAGCTCTTTGCAGTTGCTATGGGAGACAAGTTACATTTATAACTTGGACTAAGGTGGTGGGAAAAAAAGTCTGAGCCAGTCGTGACCAGTGTACAGAGAGAAGCGAAAAACCAACTAAATAGATGCCCTGCTATCACAAAAGGTCACAAGAAGGTTGACGGAAGACAAGCAACACAAAGTTCAAAACAACAAGCGAACGTGTCCACTGCTGGCCTTATTAAAAATGTTTTAAGAAGGTCAGGATTCTGTGAGCTGGATATGGACAGTACAGTGGCAGCTTTGATACATTTAACAGCAAGAAAATGATATTGAGGATGTAATAATGGCTACAGTTCAGGTCCTATATCATGTACGCTTAAATTAAAACGTTTGAGGTAATTATTGCTTGAATCAAATGGATTTTGTCTTAATCTGAGTATATTCTGACAAAATTATAACACAATTTGCTTCATTAGAACGGTTGCTTTACTTTCTCATTCCAAGGGAGACATTTCTTGTGTCTTTTTAAAACGAGATGATTTTGCTTGTGCCATTCGTAAATCCTGTTTTAAGGCAAACAGACTGTGTTGAAATCAAGATGCATTTTGCCAAATTTGAGCAATTTTTGACTTATTTTTCATCACTTTTTGCAGTGTAATGTGGTGAGTCAAATGGGAAATGGGTAATTTTAGATAATGGCATAGTTGTTAAAGAACTGAATAGAGTGAATGAGCAAGAACGTATAGAGAGACATCTGCCAAAGCAACAAGGATACAAGTATATGTGAGGAACAACCTCAATAAAGATACGTAATTTTTATGTTCTAACCAAAATATTCTAGAAGTCTAATTTCAACAAATCCGGCTGTCGTTATCCAATCCAATCCACTTTATTTATATAGCACATTTCATAAACACAGTTTCCAAAGTGCTGCACAATAAAGTACTAAATAAAACAAATCCATATAGTAAAACAGTAAAATAATAAAAAAAATCAAATATGAAAAACTGTGTGTGCATACATGTATAGATATAAAAATAACAAACAAAAGATGGAATAAAATAAAATAAAATTAAAATAAAAGGACCATACAACTCACCCAGTGTTAAAAGCCAGAGCATAAAAATGGGTCTTAAGACGAGACTTAAAACACTCCACAGAAGGAGCAGTTTGGATATGGGGGGGGCAGAGCGTTCCACAGCTTTGGTCCAGCCACAGAGAAGGCCCTGTCCCCCCGGGTTTTAAGTCTCGTCTTAGGCACCACGAGCTGGAGCTGGCCCTCGGACCTCAGCGTGTGGGGTGGATGGTAAATTTGGATGAGGTCCGAGATGTAAGGAGGGGCCAGTCCGTTCAAAGCTTTAAAAACAAACAATAAAAAATCTAAATTAAAATGTATTCTAAAATGAACAAGAAGCCAGTGCAACGATGCCAGAATTGGCACGTGTGTTATCTTATTTGAATCATTATAATTAATTGATATTGTTTGCGTTCTTGTAAGAAAGAGCCTAAGGAGTCACTATTTCATGGTTTGGGCTGAAAGCTGTGTGAGGGTGGTCTTTCACCGTTCTATCTGAATCTAAATATATGATTTCTAAAAAAGGACACGTATACTGTATGTGGAAAGAATAGTGAGATTACCAGACTTTCTTAATACAGTTTAATTTATTTTTGGTTTGAAAGGTTCTCACTCCACTCACTCCACTATAGTGACCCAAACAGGTGCTACCTACAAGTATGCAGTACATTTATCAAGCTACATAATAGTACTTTTAATTCTCTTTTCTGTGTTCTATTTATATTTCTATATTTATATTTTTTTTTGTATTTGTTAAACCTATTTTTACTTTATTTGTATTAAAGGAGCACACAGCAAGAGATAAGTGAACAATAAGTCTTTACTCAAATAAAATATAATCTCTACCTTTAGTATAACAAAGAAGCAAGTATAAAATCTCTAAATCTAGCATAATAATGAAGCAAGCATAACATATTTAGCTTCAGCCTAATAAAGAAGAAAGTATAAAATCTGTAGCATAAGCATAAGTTTGTTTTCGCTGCTTCTGGACACCTGAATTTTTCTATCTATTTATCTATCTAACCATCTATCTATGTAATAAAGAAGCAAGAAACAAGTATAAAATCTCTGACTTTATCATGATAAAACAAACTAGGCTTACCAATGTGCAAAACAACAGCAATAAAAACACATAAAAACACAAAATATATGTATACCAACAAATATAACCGGAATCTTGTCCTTGCTACCTGGTATTACAAGAGACGTGGGACAATGACATGGCTTGAATGATTGAATTTGATTTAAATTGCATTACAACTACAAAACTCATCCACACTTGTCACGGCTGAGGTCACATGACGTGCTTCTCAGGAGTTGTCTAATTTTGGCCAGTGTCCCGTTTGTGTGTGCCAAAGGTTCAAGCCTCACCTATAGGGGTCCCAAACTCCCCGTCTTCATCTCTCTCTGCTGCAGCCTGTGTCGCAGATGCTACCTGCCTAGAATAGGACTTTCCAAATATGTTTTACACCTCCTGTGGGTTAGCAGCTCCTTGGGGGGGGGGGGGGGATACTGGGTAATGTAGGCTGTCACTCATCATTCAGCTGCACTTTATTGCTGGTTTCATAGTCTTCATAGTCTGTGAAAAGCATTTGGCATAATGCACGTCACAGTAATTACCCTGTCAGCTCTGCCTTCATTCTCCTGTGTTCTCTAGTAAGATTTTTGTGCTGTTTCGAGATGACAAATACGCTCTACACAAGAAGGAAAATAAGTCTGATTAAAGCATAAAATACTGGGATAATATTGGCGATTAGTGATTAAAAAAAACAACTGTTGAAAAGGATTGTAAAAGCGGTGGTTATATAATCCAAAATATCCAGTTTCAGAGCCAAACCCTTACAAAAGCCTTTTTCAAGAACAAAAGGACGGTTTCCAAATACACAATGTTTTCAGCCTTGTCAGGAGATTTATCTAACTTATGGGCCTCATTTATCAATTCAGGTGCTAAACTGGAAGATGAAAATAGTGTGTGCTGTTTTCCTGGTTTAGTTCAATAGGACATGATTAATCAGATGATCCAATTTTAATGGCTGCTAATCAGATAACATATTCTACTTAAGAAAGAAAAATGTAGTTGTATTGCGCCTCTCACAGACCAGGATCAAAAAGCACTTCACATTTAAAACATTCAATAAAACAGTAAAAGTCAAATTACAAAACTGAAATGTACAAAAGCATGCATCATCGAACACATTTCAAACTGAAATGGTTTTAAGTTATTATATCAAGTTGCAGTATTATTGGTAATTGGCTAAAAAAGCATGTTATACCTCTTTTTAAATAAAAATGTTCTCAAGAATGCAACCATATTATTTACTTTATTTAGAAATGTTAAGCCAACATGTAATTAGAAGTTATATTGTTTAATTTGTATCTTAATAGTCGGTCCAGTTTTGGTTCAATCCACAGAAACTGAACTCATTTTGTTCAAAAAAAATCTACTGGAAAAGAATATCCAATCGAACTAATGTGATCAAAATGAAACACAAACTACTTTTAAACTTTTGGCACCAAACCAAGTCTATCTTTTTGTGCGGCCCTCAACCGTTCGGCCCTTCTATGGGGAGTCCAGGCTGATAACCTTTCCCTTTAGCTAAAGTTAGATAGTATGACTAAAGTTTTTATACTGAGTTTAAGTCTGACATTGAGTGTTGTTTTCATCTTAGGATTGTCTTACCTCATATTTATATATTTTTTAAATGTGTATGTCTGTAAATATTATTGATTGGTTGATTGGAAATAAGGTCCATCATATGGTAGTATATAAATATGGATGTCATTTACATAGTGGAACAATAATTCCTCACAAATTTCAAATATAATCACAATCTTGGCTTACCTTCAGTATGCACGGCCGAAACGTAGGTCCAGTTATACTTCTTGACGATGTCGAGCATAGCCCGAGCCTGCAGTGTGTCTGAGGGCACCACTCTGAGGAAGTATTTAAACAAGGTCTTGTCGCTCAGGTCTATACTGGTGGCAGAGTACGCTATCTGTGGGATGTTGAAGAGCTGGAGCAGGTTTTGGACTTGGATCGCCACTGAGCTTGAGCCAGGTCCAATGACACCTGCTATGGGCTTCTTGGTGGGCGGTGGCTGGTTGGAAGGAGTGCCATCTATACACCATTTTGACCCATCCTTGTCATCCCGAATGGAGATGAGCGAGTCTCTTATGAACTCAATACTCTGCTCCAGGGCCACAGAGGAATGCCAGCAAGAATCCCGAATCTCACATCCAAGACTGATGTTAGGAAGAAGGTAGGGGTCTGCGTTGATCCGGTCCAACGTGTGAAACATAGCCTCCACTCTCTGGATCCCATACTGCTCACGCACATCCCCGCATTTACGGTCGGCCACCTTCTCCGCTGAGGGCTGGTGGTGCACAGAGAAGAGAGCCCCAATGATCACATCTCCATCCATCCGCGCCACAGACCTGGGGGCGGCGCGGGGCACGACGGAGCGCTCGTAGATGCTGCTGTGGCCGAGCACCAGGGCAGCCGGGAGGAAGAGGAGGAAAGCGAAGAGGAGACCCATGTTTAGGCGTGCCATGTTGCCATCTGCTTGGGCATACTATCTGCTGTACTGTGCATGTGCGTTTATCCCATGGAGCACGATGAGAGAGAACCAGGGCATATCCACAGGCACCTGCACACATAAACCAGAGAGAAAATATCAATGAGAAAGATGTTCTACACGTTGAGAAGACAAGGCTGAGTAAGCACTGCTCTGACAACCCCCCATCATACTCCCCCCCCACACCCCCCATATCCTGTTGTCCCACAAGCTTGAGTGCCAGTGAGCATGCCACCAACTCCCCAAACTTACCAGTGATTATTGATTTTTTTTTTCAACCGTGTTCTAAGTACTACACAAAACTCACTGAGAGAAAGCAGGCAGCTGTGAAAGGGTGAGGATGGGTGGGTTGAGGTTTTTAACTTAAGACGCTGAAGATGCCTTATTCATATTCACGAATGGATCAAATGTATATCAGCAGAAACTCATTCCTTTTTGGTACTATACACGCTTCCGTTTCTAGGGCAGGCATCTGGATCCGTGGAGCGCGAGTGAAATTTACAGAATTGTTTTTACGATGCTCGATGTTGCTAGTGATGCTTTATAGTCACAGCTAATCTAAATGGAGAAAGCCATTCACCATGACATGCGCGCAAGGAATTATCCAAACAAATACCCGTGCAGTTGGCTACACTACACTCAAACACGCCGTGAAGGAAATATAAGTGATGTTTTCTATGACTTGAACTGCAACTTACCTGAAGGGCGATGGCATGTCGTGCGTCTTGGCTGCGTCTCTGTGCCGTGTGCTCCGGTGCTGTCTGATCGCAGCCTCTCCTCCTCCTCCTCCTCTACTTGCCCCACTCTCGCTATCTCTCTCTCGCTCTCTCTTTCTCTATTGCTTTGCTCCAAAAATCTTTCTCTCTGCCCTCATCCGAAACGTCTACACCTGCCGCCGCGTCCTCTCCAACTCACACAAGGACACCGCGCACCAGCAACACGCAATAATGAACTCACCCAGTGGAGTTAGAACAGAGAAAATGGACAATTATCAACCCGTCAAATCACGTCGTTATAAGATGATTTTGATTCATTCTATTTCAGCATTTCAAGTATGAGCAGAATTTAGCCTTCTTTTACTTTGACGCGGGTATGAGGAGTGTCTATATTATAACATTATTATTATTAGCCTGTTATTATTATTGTTTTTGTCATCTCTATACGATTAAAGAGGTAAAAAATAAACAACAATTGATGCTAGAACCTAGTTAGTTCTTATATATATATATATATTAATCCTTTCAACTGTCCCAATTTATCCAAACACAAAAATGTGGCTGAAATCAGGACCACAGACAGCTCCCAATAGCACTGCGCCATCTAGTGTTTTTTCAGAGCTTATGAATAAAGTGGTTACACAACTTCGAGTTGTGGCAGAAGGTCTTTGAAGCACTGTCATTTAACATGAGAACTTCCAGAGCAGTCAAATTGACGGCTTTTTGTTTTGGAAGTTTTATTACTTCGCGTATCTACATTCTTGGTCTTCATAACTTTGTGGCTTTTTCTGTGTATTTATATACTTTATCTCTTTGTCATTATTTTTAAATAAAATTATTTTTTTATTTTTGAAATGTGAGTGGTTCAATCATTAACTAAAATTGTTTAATAAACTAATATGAATGTAAAATTTAATTATCATTGTTTTTCGGTTGCATTCTATAGAGTTAAAGCTCTCTTTTTTTTCAAGGTGCTGGTCAGACTGGTCTTTGACTGACTCTGGTACTGGTTCTGGACTGGTTCTGGTTCAGCTAGATTTTCCACCAGAGAAGAACTACTGATAACAGTAGTTCAGCCGAGATATTTGGATTTCAAAATTAGTTTTACAGCCCCTAAATCTTGTTATTGTTTTGTTTTGATGTCCGGTCCTCCATCGTTTTGATCCGGGTTGCCAGAACTTACTTGTGTTAAGAGAATATGTATACATCCGTTGATAAACAACAATAGTTGCAAAGACATTACTATTTAATTGTGAAACCCTAAACATTTTAGATGATCTAACTGGACCCTGAAGGCGAATAATAAAAATAATTAATATAAACTATTGGGACTGAACATATGATAGGCAATGTCTTTCTATAGTTTATTAAAATGTGTGGTTCCAGGGGCCACTTAATATTGGCATACATAGACACTTGGTGAGTCATTATAGGAAGTATAAATATCAAATACATGCAAAGCCTCCTCGTGTGACACTGATGGCGCCCAAGGTCTAAAGAGCGAGCGTCTGGTCCTGAACATTAGTGAAAGTGACATGTGGAGATGAAGAAACGAGGGTATTATGTTGGGGCCATATTTAGGGCTAAGGGCAGAGAATGTATAGGTCAAAATGTAACCTTTTATTAGTGTACAGTCATCATCAGGCCTTACGACAATAATCCAATCACAAATTCACATGTGAAATATACTGAAATGTAATCAAAATAGTAGTAGAAATAATGATAATAATAATAATAATTATTATTATTATTATAATTTATTCTATTCGGAACTTGGTTAATTAATAACTATATTTATCTGCTAATTGCTATTTACATGTATTGAAGATTTACTATAGATGTATAGTAAAATCCTTAATATCAGAATGTGCAATAACCACATGTCACTTTACTGAGTCACTGTGTCTCAGAGCCTCATGCTGCTAATGTACAGATGTAAACATACTGCTGCCAACATGTACAGATGTAAACATACAGCTGCTAATATGTACAGATTAAAATATACTGCTGCTATCTACAGATGCTAACATATAACTACATATTCCTTGCACAAGAATACACTTGCCTCTTATTTTGCCAAACGTAAAACTTTAAGACTTCTTTTTATTATTATTACTATGTTCAAGATAGAGATTTTTTTACTTGTTATTTGATGCTAGAGTTAGAGATTTTGTCTTTTTTAAATTAGTATAGCTATTCCCTTATCTTGTGCTGTGTGCTCCTCACTTCTACTGCTCTATAACTTGTGATGCAACACTGAAATTTCCCCACTGTGGGACGAATAAAGGATCTCTAATCTAACCTCGGGGCAGATAGGGAAAATATAAAACTGACTTTGTAGCCCAGCAAAGAACTATTAGTCAATAATAAATTAGTACAACACTTCCCTCTGCTGGCCAATATATACTATTACAGCTGTAAATTACGTTGATTTGTCTTTTTAACCATATTTATTTTTATTAAAAGGAATCACCAATACCGTATCTATATAGGGTCATTATTGATATCCTGTTTTTTCTGAGTATTCAAACCACAATTTGTGATCCAACTAAAATGTCTACAGCCTGTGTCAATAAAGTTTTTCAAGGGAGAAAAAAACGGAGCTCATGAAGAGGATGTTTGTTGTGGAGGAATAATCAGCGACTAAACAAAGTCCACGTTCTCCTATGAATTGTTCATGTTTAAGCTCAAACACCTCAAGGTAAGACGGGTTTCCTCGAATGTCTTTATTCCTCGGAGTTGTCTGTGAAGTTAGTAACTCGCTGCTAACTTACATGCTAGCATTAGCTTCGATCAGTTAAACGCAAACAAAACATCTGAAAAGGTCAAAAAACGTCTCTGAAATCTTTATTTTTGGTGCACACGACAAATTCTTCGGTATAGAAAGCGATGTAGCCCCGAAAATGAATCTTGCTTCATGATGTGTAGCTTGTCATAGAAGTTTCTAGTTGTGTAACGTTAGTGATTGAAGCTACTGTGACAAATCTGATTGAATTAAAAGGATGTCATATCTTTTACAGGGTAATGACTGAATGAAAGCGGGCTTTTTGTAGTGACGTAAGAGTATATATAGTTACAGTCATGTAAACTGTTATATAATACGTCTTAAATGTAAATGTGCACTTCATTCATCACACCGTTATGTTTACTTTTTAGCAAAGTAGGTGTGGTCACTTTAACACTTGTCACTGTTAATTACAGCGTTTTTTGTCTTTTTGTCTTAGGGTGACTGGTAGGTTCCCAGCCCACAGTCTGAAGATGCTCCTTGACTCCGCTGTGTCGCAGATGGAGGATCACACTCACTGCGCGACCTGTTTTAACCTGAAGTGTAATGTGCGCCCTGAGCCCGGCCTGTCCTGTGTGCTTGTGACCTGTCCTACACTGTGTGGAGCCGTGTTTCACTTGTGCAAAGCTGAAGAGCATCAGCTCCTGTGTCCTCAGCTTAAAGTGTCTTGCATCAACAGTGCCTATGGTTGTCCTGTAAGACTGATGAGAAACCAAATGGCTGCACATCTGGCTGTTTGTCCGGCTGGGGTCGTGTGCTGCACTATGGAGTGGAACAGGTGGCCCGTTAGCTGTCATAACTACTCCTCCTATGAGTCCCTTAGTCATGCTCCTGAGGAAGTGGAACAGCTGGACATGGCACTGGCCCTCCAGGACCAACGAACTTTACTTGAGTCTCTAAAAGTGATATCAATGGCACCTACTGTTGAGAAAGATGCCCTAAATTTAACAGTTAAGGAAAAAATGTCCTCTACTGCTGAGCCACAACCCCCAACAAGTTCATCGGAGAAAATCGCCAGAGGAATTAACGGAATGAATGAGGAACATTTCAGCAAACTCTATCAAGCTACTGTAGAAACTGCAAGAAGCTTAGCTGCTGCTTTAGAGTTTGTTAGCAATTCTAGCAGTTCTGAGAGTGTGAACAATGGGCCTTTTCAAAAAGAGATTATAATTAACAGCAATGGAATAAAAAGTTTAATCCCTACAGTTACTAATGTTTTATCACCAGACCCGGGACTTAGTTCAAACCTTTCAGATATAAATGAATCTCAAAGTGAGGCAGATCTCATTTTGAACACAGCCAATGGACAGATGTCTGGAGGTTTAATAACACCTAGTTCTTCTGACAACAATAATAGTGTTTTACAAGACGCATTAACCACAACTAAGAATCAGGAAACAGCATCCAATGCTAACCATGTGATAGGTCCACTGGAAACGCATGGAATGAACTTCTATAGGAGACACTTGTTGATGACGCAAGGACATTGTTCAATGCTTTTTGATCAGATAAGTTTGAGGTCGTCTGATAAAAGGTCTGTAATGGTGGACAAATCAGTGGACACATCTGACCTGGAGCAACAGGAGGACCCTATGGGGCTCGGAGACATTGACCTGATTACAGCAGCTTTGTTCTTCTGTTTGGAGGAGTCCAGAGAGTGCAGGAGGATCTCTGACACAGTCTATGTGGATGGCTTTCATGTAGACTTTGGTACTCAGACCTTCACCTTTCCCGCTGCCATCCTAGTCACCAACACTAGAGTTGGGGACATGGCCTCAGCATCTGCCTGTGACCATGCCGCCTCACAGCTCTCCTACCCCAGCCCCTACCACACTCTGCGGCTTGGGCTTGTGTTAGAGGCGTTGGAGGGACCCATTGCAGCATTTAACCGATGCCTCCCCTCGAACCCTCGCCACCAGCACACGTTCCCCTTTGTGTGTGGCCAGTCTTTCCGTAGGGACCAGTTCAGTTCCCATTCCACAAACGTACATGGGGACATTCACGCTGGACTTAACGGGTGGATGGAACAACGCTGTCCGCTGGCTTATTACGGCTGTTCATTTTCACAGCGCAGATTTTACCCTGCCAACATGGAGGCTAAAGTGGTCCACGACAGATACCTCAAGTCCTTTGGGATCCAGCCCTGTCCGATAGTAACGACTCCAATTGCTTCCCAACCCGTCCAGTTTAGTGAGCTGCCCGTTGAGATCCTGTGGCACATCGCCGGCTTCCTGGACAGTTTTAGTCTGTGCCAGTTGTCGCTGGTGTCACGGACAATGAGGGACGTTTGTGCCAGTCTACTTCAAAGCAGAGGCATCGTGGAGCTGCGGTGGGAGCGCCAACACTTTCCTGGCTCTGTCAATGTGTCATGGCAGGTCAAACACAAAGTTAGTAGCTTAAAAATATATATATTTATAATTTATTTACATTCATACCAGTATAGTAATAATAATACCATATATCTGTTGCAACTATTTTAAACTTGACTCATAGCTGGGGTACTTAACTTTCAAAACACAAAATATGTATAATATAATAAAATTGAGCTTATCAGGGTTCTTGCTTTCGACAGTTTGGTTCTAAGTGTTCACATGCATTTACATCTTCAGATCAACTTTTTCTGATTTGAAAATTAAAATACTCAGCCAATCAGTTTTGGGAACAAAGCGTCAAATGGTTTTCAAAGAGAAGACTGCATGTTGCGATTTGATTTTTTTGTTTAACATTTTACTTTTAACATTTCCTTCTTTAACCTCCGGTCTAATTTTTAAGAGTTATTTACGTTTCAAAAAGAGTGGAATTAGACTTTATCTTTATGTAATGTTGTCTTTAGAATGCGGTGTTGGCAGGCAGAGCGGAGAAAAGGCCCTATCTGCTTTCACATATGGATCTGTTGGCACTGACAAGAAAGCACAGATTCACGGTCTTTAAATTATAAGTCCGTTATGATACTATTTCCTCTGGTCCTGCACACAACACATTGACTACAGACCCCTTAACCTTAACCCGTCTTTCAATGCCGGTCTAAAAGAAAGAAAAGCCTTGTGTTCATACTGTTGACATGGGTACAAAAAACCATGGGTCTCCAGTGTGAAAACCCCATGGATTATTTAAGATGAAAAAAGTTGGGTACTCCAGCCTTTATTTGAATGATTTGAATGTATTTATTGATTTATTTAATCGGGACAAGTGTACACGATCAACATGTGAAACACTAAAACATTCATAGCCAAGGGGAATTTGCAATGTCCGTCCCTAGAAGGACAACACGATTAAAGACACATTTTACCTTGTTTCATTTGCATTGTACAAAGACAAGAAACGTCCCTCAACTCATCGATGCTCACACAACTGACCTGTTTTTAAAAATCGCCTTAAGTTGTATTACTTAAATAGTGAAAGAAATATTCCATACTCATTATTTTGTTCAAAATTGCTTCAAAATAAGTTGTCAAGACTATGTATGTTAATTTGCCTAGTCACTCCCTCTTTATCAAAATATAGTGGGCTTTAATAACTTTTGTGTTGCTGTATATTAAATTATTTACATTGGTGACTGTGTTTGTAACCTTAAAATCTGTGTTATTCCAGGTTGATCACATAAATGCAGCTATTATTATTATTGTTCTCTTTCTCACTTGTAGGTCTGGAGATTCAGCACCGCCTTCAGCCATGTGTCGTCATGGGGGTTCACCAGCGTCCCCAGCATGTCGGACCACCTGAAGAAGTGCACTTTCAACACCGTGGAGCACAAGACTGACCCCGTCCCCCTCACCGCCATGTGCTCCGAACAGGACGGACAATCGCTAAGACGCACCCTCCGCCACATCAGCATCTGAGTTTTGACCGGTTAAAAAACACATTACCAGAACTTGTACAAGCTGCCTTACACTCCCCCACAACTTTACCGTGGAGACCAGTATCGAGTTTGCATGGGTTTGTGCTAAAGTAAAGAAAAAAAAACAAATTAAAAAAACATTGCAATAATAGATTTTGATGAAAGATTACGTACAGTAGATTTCAATTATCCAAAATGCTTCTTTTTTTTCACCGTCTTGCCTTTGTACGATAGCCATAATGGAAAAGCACAAGTCAATATTTAGTGTAACATGAGTAATAGTAGCACTTTATCCACTTTAAACACTCCTGATTGTCTTACTTGTCCTTCAGAGGCCTCGGAGGTAATGCACACAAAGCTCTTTGATGTCAAAACAGATCAATATTAATGATGGATCAAAAATGCATGTGATTTGCTACCATTTAATAAAGTATTTACAGCTTTATTGTAAGTTCGCCTGGGCTCATTGTGTGTCATGAGATGGGGAGGATTAGACGGCTCACATCAATTAAATATCTATGAACAGCTGTATAAGCCAGTGTTTTTCAACCAGTGGGCCATGGTACGATAGTGTGCCTTGAGATGCTGTTTGGTTTGCCTTTGGAAATCATCAAATGTCACCTGATCGGGAGGAATATACTTTTTTGAGCTTATTTTGATTTTTTATATACTACACTTTGAGGAGAATTACTTTTCTTGAGACATGTATTACAATAAAGACAATAGGTGACAACCCTGTAACTTGATAAGAGACGATGGAACTCACCGGAAATACATAGAATAAAGGTTTATTTGAATAACACACTTCATACACAATGCATCTTAAATTGCTTAACAAAGCAAGGAAATAAACGGACAGTACACTCACACAAGGCATTATTATTGATTCCAAAAAAGAAATACAGGTGTCAAGTTTAGATTTTAACTATTTGCGTAGGTTGTCTTTCTTACACCTAGTGCTATTCTATGTATTCTGAAGCATCGAACCCTGTTGTTTACTTATCTGAGAAAGAATTCGGGAGATGTTTGAGGGAAGCCAGTCGCTGTGTAGAAAGTGTCCTGGATAAAGCCCGAATAGAAACACTGCTATTTGGTCTCCAAATTGGTGTAAAAAAAAAAGTATTGGCTCAAATAGTTGGGGAACGCTGGCATAAGCAATGATAAAAATCTTTGCAAAATTGTTGTAACCCACAAGAACAGTAAATACAATGCATCTTTTGTAACTGACTACAGTAGATAACACAAAATCTGACATGTTTGAAAGCAGTCACAATAACTTATTTAAATAGTCATCTTCTTTTGCATTTTCCTCAAGTAGGTTTTTAATTCTAAAAAATGTGGGGTTACTGTCACCAGAAGGAAGTTTAATCATTGTGATGTTTGTATTTCGACAAGTTTACCACACTGGAGTATTTGTATTGGAAGCAGAAACAAGTGCAGTATTAGCAACACTGATGGTTCAAATATAAATAACTACCTGACACTGTGGACACAAATACACATACACAGGGGCCGCAAAAACACATGGAGATATCCCCCGGGAACCCTGGGGTAACAAACACATTTTGAATTGAAGAAGATATGAATGGTCCTTTAATAGTAATATTGAATGTAAAACTCAAAGAAAATTGGCTTGGCCGATATAACTTTCCTTTTAACAATCTAACAAAATATAAAAAACTTACAGAATTTATAGTATCCCACTATAGTAAATACATCTATACATCTGGTTTGTATGTTCTTTCCATATCTGTGTAGGTTTCTCCAGGTGCTCCAGTTTCTTGTATACATGTAATAGGCTCCTCTCCACTGGGGCCAGAACCTAAAAAGAAATTCTGATTATCAGGATTACTCTCCTGTCAATGTATTTTTGTACTTAGTCATAAATCACAACAGCAGTCTTACAAAGTTGTCATTTTGCCAACAGAGATAGAATCAAGCGCATAGGCGCCATTGGTGTTAAATGTAGAGTATCTCAGACTTGATTTTGGTCTGTGCAGAGGTAAATCTGGGTGTGTCTCACAAATGTTACTGAACAGCAATAGGCCCGCAATCAAACCATGGGGCACACACAGATTAATAAAAGTAAAAATACCATTGCTTCCTCAAAGCCAGTTTAGAATTGTCTCAATCGATCAGTTAATAGTATATAGTAATAGTTTATGAGAGAGTAACAACTCCAGCTTGTTTACACAAAAATCCAGTTGGTTTTGCACATTGTGTAGATACTTGGGTGTAGCCGGTGTCCTGACAGGATGCTAGAGTCAGAGCAAATATTATGTTAGACCGCCTGAGATGTGCCACTGAAAAGTGTGTCTAGAACCATTCTCGGATCAGAAGACGTTTTTGTTAACTTTCCTTTATTATCATTTGCAACGATGCCGGTGTACAAGATACTGGTGACGACTGGAGATATGCCGTTTGCTGGAACATGGGACTCGGTCTACGTGACACTGGTGGGGTCTGAGGGACAGAGCAAGAGAACGGAACTCAACAACATCGGATTTGACTTTTCACGAGGAAAAGTATGTGTAACTTTATGCGTATATTTATTTTTAAGACAAGTACATTTGAGTATTATCGTCTTTTCTCCATGAATGTAAAAGGCATATAGCTATTATTATTATTGTTCTTCAGAGAAATAAAACTTACATAACCTAACCTATAATCATGCATTTTTCTCTCTTCTAGGCAAGATCATACACTCTGAAACACGACTTCTCTCTTGGGAACCTTCTGCTGCTCACAGTAGCAAAAGACCCATTCTTTATTTTCCCAGAAGACAAGTGGTACTGCTCCAAAATTCTGGTGACTACGCCTGAAGACAACACCATCCTATTCCCCTGTTACAGATGGATATCGAGAGGAGAGCTGGTGGAGCTGCGAGGAGGCAAAGGTTTGAACCAACACACGCAGGCGTACAAGCAGAAGTTCATGTACAAATAACATATTCCTGAATAATTGACAGCAACACTGATTTATGAGGATGAGCTTCAGCTTTTACTCGACCATCGGAACAATGAAATACAGAGTAGAAAAACGCAGTACCAGTAAGTTGTGTGAAGTATACAGGACTTCTTTCACGAGGCACGTCTTTCAGAAGAGTTGTGTGTCTTTTAAGGTGGACGTTTCATTATGAAGGACTGCCCAACGGATACGACGACGGCTCAAAAGCTCTCGCAGAAGGCCACGCATCAGCCACATCTACAAAGTAAGTTTTGTTTATTAAATGTATCGTTAAAAGTGTTCTTATAGGCCAGGCATGTCAAACTCAGGCTCATGGGTCAAAGACATTATTAAGCGGCCCTCGATATGTTTTTCACTTATTATTAAGAACTTTGATGTTTATGGGCTACCAAGGAATGGTTTTACATCCTCTTTTTTTTGGGAAACAAACAAATGTAATATATTCTAAAATGTTATACCTACACATCATTATTTATGTATTTATTTATTTGATAGGGACAAGTTCAATCAACATGTGAAACACTACAACATTTTAACCAGAGCTAATTTGCAATGTAAGTCCCTAGGAGAACATTGCAAATTTAATTTAGAAGTTGAATAGTTAAATATAAAAACAATGTGTTTAACTTTATATTTGCTCCAGTTTTGATTAAATCTAAACAATTAACACATTTCGTTTTCAGAAAAAGGTCAAAATACCTTCATAATGTAAATGAGTTTGACGGCCCGGTTTGATGCCCTCTCTGTTCTTCAGCTCCTTTGAACAATCGCTCGGAGGAATATCCAAGTCCAAAGACAAATGGAAGTCATTTGAAGAGATGGAAAAGGTAATTGGGGTCAAGAAGACGGCAATAACAGGTAACTATCACTGCAAAAGCAACATTTTAGTGATGATTCTCTTTCTTTTTTTGTGTGTTTGTATTTGTGATTCAAAGACATGACTTAAACAATAGTATCTCTTCAAATTGAATGAAAAGTCGCTCGTTTTATCATCCACTTTAAACCCTCTATTCTAGATTATGTGATGCAGAACTGGAAAGACGACAGCTTCTTTGGATTCCAGTTTTTAAATGGGGTTAACCCGAATGCTATCAAACGCTGCTCCCAACTTCCATCAAACTTCCCCATCACAAATTGGATGGTAAAGTCATTCTTGGCCAGAGGTTCTTCACTGCAAAAAGAAATGGAGGTATGGTGTGGCCACTTCAGGTTGACACATGTATTATAGTATTTCATTCGTATGATTCTCGGATGGAATATACACAGTTGCCTTTTCCATTCCTTTGAGCGGGGGCAATTATTCGGATAGCAATTATTTTATCTGGGGGTAGACATTGGGATATCAGAACATTGTAGAGGGCTGGACTTGTTTTCATGTGGTTTAATTTTTTTAAATATAATTTGGAAGAACATATTTGACACACAGTGTAAGCTACTTCAGTTACTCATTTTTTCATTGTGAAGTCTTTTTCATCCTGGTCTGTGAAAGGCGCTACTACACAAAAAAACTTTACTCACTTACTCTACTCGGCACGGTGGCTGAGTGGATAGCACTCTCGCCTCTCAGCAAGAAGGTCTGGGTTCGAATCCGGTCGGCTCAACCAGCGGCCTTTCTGAGTGGTGTTTGCATGTTCTCCCCGTGCTGCGTAGGGTTTCCTATCCGGGTACTCCGGTTTCCCTACCACCTAAAAATATGTCCATAGTTTGGCATGTGACTCCTATAATGGTCTGACCCCTGCTCCATCTTCTGTGTGAGTGAGAGACAATGCCAAAAAACATTACAATTGTAACCGCTTTGAGACTCCAGATCGCAGTGAAAAAGGTGGTATATAAATAAAGATAACTTACTTACTTACTTACTACATACTTTACATGTAACAAAAATGTGCGTATGTAATAAAAAAAAGAATTCACAGATAAAAAGGAGAGAGGAAACTGAAGATACTCCATTAGGTATATTTGTGTTAGTGCAGTAGCTGAAAGAAGGCTGGTGTATTGAATGTGGGCAGATGCATGTTTTTGATGAATTATTAAGAGGTATACATGCCAGCATATCACTCCATGAAGTTGCAAACATTCATTGGCTTTTTTACCCCACCCCCCAACCCCATCTATTTTTTCCCACCCACCTAGGGTCTTGATGCGTTTTGTGGTTCTTTTGAAAGACAAGTTAGATGTATTACCTTGTTAATCTGAAACATTGATAACAAGGTAATACATCTAACTTGTCTTTCCACAAAAAAAACCTTTTAACTCAAGACAAAATATTTTTTTTTGAAATCATTGGGAATTGACTTCCCTTCATTTACTAGGGGGGGGGGGGGGTGACGGTTAGAAATGTGTGGATGAGAAAAGGTCCGAGGGCCACAGGGAAACATGGAATCGGGCCGTTGTGACCCCCGGGCCGCACTTTGCCAGCTCTGCCTATTACAGTATACAGAAGTTGAGAATGTTCCTTATTGCTGCAGATTGGCAAACATATTCAACTGTGACTATAAGAAACTGGACGGGATAACCACTCGTGTTGTTGATGAAGAAAGCGTTTTATGTGGCATCAGGCTTCATGTTTATTCTATTTGAACTCCAACAAGGAATTGCTGCCAATTTCAATACTGGTTTGTACATTTAAGTACAGTATATCAAGCGTTAATTGCAATATGAAGCCAAAGTATACACACACTGTAATAGCTTGCTCAAAGACCGGCACAGGACAACCCCATCTTCTGGACTCAGACTCGGACAGCGGACTGGCTACTGGCTAAAAATGTCATCAGAATAGCGGATTCAACCTCGAGCACCAGGGGATTGAACCACTTAATTGAAAACTCACTTGTTAGGAGAAGTCTTTGCTATGGCAACTGCTCAGGGAATCCTGCCTAGCCACCCACATTACAGGTATATCAAAAACGATTTCATTCTTATACTCAGTTCAATCTGTTCAATTGGTTGCCATTGTGCAGATGCTGATTTCTCACTTTCGAGCCACATCCACATTTTTTTTTTTAATTATTTTTTTTAACAACCATGTCCCGCAATCAAACTGTTGGGACCAGCGGGAGCTTTAAGCCTCGTAAGACTTAGATTTTATTTTATATGGGTTGCAGCAGAAACCGGGACGGATTGCTAAAACGTGTGGACAAATGTCTTTTTTTCCTCAACTGACTTGACGTGGAATATACATTTTTCAAAACAAACTACCTCTCTAAATATTGGTGTCATTGAGCTAAAACAGAAAGATCTTTCTTTCATCCCCAGAAATTTCAGTGTTGCCTAACCTTAACCCTCACCAGTTTAAGATCAGTAGGAAGCTAAGTGAATAAACTCTGTAATTTAAAACAAAAAACTACAAAAAAATATCCATCTTTTAGCTTGATAAAATAAAAAATTCTGTGTTAATTCAGAGCACCCTTGGCTGTGTGTATGGTTTCAGAGCGTGGGGTTTTCACGAAATACTTGGCTCTGAGGCGGGTGTCCTGGTAAAAACTACCCAGGTTGATGAGGATGCCCACAGCGGGGTTGTCTGATCTGGAATATGCGACTGGAGCATTTTGAGGGTTTTAAAGCAGGAGTCAGGAAGGTGGCGATCTTACGGGTGTTTGTGATTTTTTGGTTTAACAGCCTCCCTGTTAAACTTAATTATATATATAATTATATATAGGGATCAGGAGCTTTATGACCCGACCTTCCCGCACCCGACATGACTCATATTTTTGAGGCATCCAACCCGCCCGAAACTGCGGGTTGACCGCGGCTTTCGGGCTGACCCGCGCATCACTACCCCTTAGGTAACACGTTGCCATAGATACACAGGGCCGATGGAAACGCTCTCAAACCGAGTTGAGTCGTGCCGAGTCGAGTTGAGGCGAGTAGAGTCGGGCCCGTGGAAACAGCCAGTGATACGCAGGAACGCATACACAACAAATATACTATATCATACAAGGCGGCCCCGACTCCACCGGGCGCGTAAAACGGACGACGTATCCGTCCAAACGCGTCCGTTTCATCTCCGTTTCCTTTATCTCCATGAGGGTGAATGGAAGTGGCTCCACGGCCTGCAACATGCGTCATTCCGTCAACGGAGGGTGCAACGGACGCGGACGGACGAAATCAAAACAATTTTACCCGTCCGTCGGTTTCATGTGTGTATGTTTCATGTATTAAACTGAAATAATTGTTTCCTGATCGTAAATCTACCATTTACTTTTCGCGCAATGTTAATACGCTAAACTTTACATACACCTCGCTCTTTTAGTTCTTGCTCTGTCCTTGTCTACCTCCGAGGCGCTCTCTCCTCACCGCCGCTCCACACACACACACTGCACTTTTGCACGCTCACGCACACATGCACGCCAATAATACATTACTCCTCCATCAGCCAAACATTCATTTATTCACACAGTGTCCACTGGGGGTACACTCTTGAATTTAAAATATGTGTTAGAGGGCCATGAGACGAGTCCAACGGTGTAGGTTAGACCGCACGGTTCTCGATGGGCGGGCCTTAAATCGGGGACGATTCTTACGATAATGAAGCTCATTAAAGGGTCAAATTTATTCGAAATGTCTAAAAACTCAGCACACACCCCTCTAAATACAGACTGAACCAGAATCCAACGTTTCAACCTGTTCGGGCACTCGCTTAGCTACTTAGCTTCCTATTGGCCAAAATGAGTGGGCGCCCAGATATTTGAGAAGAGAATAGTATGGATTTAACACCATCCAACCTCTCTTACTGAAGGAGAAACTGGAAGAAATCAGAGTTGATCCCATCTTTTCCAACTGGATATATAATTACCTCACTGTGTGTCACAGTATGTCAGGTTAGGGAAGAGCGTGTCTGGGACTTTTGTGAGCCATAAGGGAGCACCACAGGGTACCATTCTGGCTCCCTTCCTCTTCACTGATTACACTGCAGAATTTGCACACAACTTTGCTACATGCCATGTACAAAAATAGGACTATAGGCAGGGGTGCACATAAGTGGTACACAGGTACGCATGCGTGACTATCACTTGAGTTAGTAAGCACTTTTGCGTACTTCACATTGACCAGTCCTTCTCAAATAGTGTGGCGCTCCTCCCTGGGGGGTGGTAATGCAATAACATCCTTCGTTTTGACCCCGGGAGAAACTGTGGCGCTTCGACAGCTCAGCAAGTGTGCGTGGTCATATACCGAGCGCGGACCATAGACACGCGTGGTCATGTACCGAGCGAGGACCATAGACGCACGTGGTCATGTACCGAGCGAGCACCATAGACGCGCGACCTGGACTGGGTCCTAGTCCAGGTCCGGGTCTAGGTCTTGGTTCTCGACTCGGCTCAGGTCTGGGTCCAGGACTGAGTCTAGATCAGAGTCTAGATCAGAGTCTAGATCAGAGTCTAGATCAGAGTCTAGATCAGAGGCTAGATCAGAGTCTTGATCAGAGTCTAGATCAGAGTCTAGATCAGAGTCTAGATCAGAGTCTAGATCAGAGTCTAGATCAGAGTCTAGATCAGAGTCTAGATCAGAGTCTAGATCAGAGTCTAGATCAGAGTCTAGATCAGAGTCTAGATCAGAGTCTTGATCAGAGTCTAGATCAGAGTCTAGATCAGAGTCTAGATCAGAGTCTAGATCAGAGTCTAGATCCGAGTCTAGATCCGAGTCTAGGTCCGAGTCTAGGTCCGAGTCTAGGTCCGAGTCTAGGTCCGAGTCTAGGTCCGGGGCTGAGTCCGGGACAGGGTCCGGGATTAAGTTAGACCCAGACTTAGGGTGATAAGTTAGACACATTCTTAAGTGTTCCTCTGAGGACTTCCCTGGGTTTGGACTGAAGTCATGAAACTGTCAGAGAAGAGCCCTGAGGCCCAGGAGCAGTGCTGATGACCCGCCCTCTGTGACCCGTCTGTGATCCGTCTGTGACCCGTCTGTGGGATGGACCCCTCTCTCTGTGGTGTTTCCGAGGTTCTCTTTTTCTGCCACTGTTTAGACTTTAATCACTTTTTTTTTTTTATTCTGCGGGGGGGAGGGGGCGGGGTGTGGTCCCTCTCTACAAGAAGGGGGACCGGATGATGTGTTCCAATTATCGTGGGATCACACTCCTCAGCCTCCCCGGTAAGGTCTACTCCAAGGTACAGGAGAGGAGGCTACGGCCGATGGTCGAATCTCAGATTCAGGAGGAGCAGTGTGGTTTTCGTCCCGGTCGTGGAACACTGGACCAGCTCTATACTCTCCATCGGATACTCGAGGGTTCATGGGAGTTCGCCCAACCTGTCCACATGTGCTTTGTGGATTTGGAGAAGGTATTCGACAGTATTCCCCGGGGTGACCTTTGGGGGATTCTCCCAGAGTACGGGGGGTCCAGGGTCCTTATCTCAGGGCTTTCCGGTCACTGTATGACTGGAGCCAGAGCTGTGTCCGCAGTAAGTCAGATATGTTCCCAGTGTTGGGGTCCCCCAGGGCTGCCCTTTGTCACCAGTTCTGTTCACTGTTTTGATAGACAGAATTTCTAGGCACAGCCAGGGGTTGGAGAAGTCCGGTTTGGGGACCACGGAGGGGGGCCGGTTTGGAACCAGAGTCACGGACCGGTTTGGAACATGAGCAAGGGGCCAGAGGGGGTCCGGTTTGGGGACCACAGGATATCGTCTCTGCTGTTTGCGGATGATGTTGTCCTGTTGGCTCCATCAGACCAGCACCTTGAGCTCTGGGACGATTTGCAGAAGAGTGTGATTTGGCTGAGACTGTGTCTCAGCTGGATGGACTGTGTCTCTCAGCTGGATGGACTGTGTCTCTCAGCTGGATGGACTGTGTCTCAGCTGGAGGAACTGTCTCTCTCAGCTGGATGGACTGTGTCTCTCAGCTGGATGGACTGTCTCTCAGCTGGATGGACTGGACTGACTGTGTCTCAGCGGATGGACTGTGTCTCAGCTGATGGACTGTGTCTCAGCTGGATGGACTGTGTCTCAGCTGGATGGACTGTGTCTCAGCTGGATGGACTGTGTCTCAGCTGGAGGAACTGTCTCTCAGCTGGATGGACTGTGTCTCAGCTGGATGGACTGTGTCTCTCAGCTGGATGGACTGTGTCTCTCAGCTGGATGGACTGTGTCTCAGCTGGAGGAACTGTCTCTCAGCTGGATGGACTGTGTCTCTCAGCTGGATGGACTGTCTCTCAGCTGGATGGACTGTGTCTCAGCTGGATGGACTGTGTCTCAGCTGGATGGACTGTGTCTCAGCTGGAGGAACTGTCTCTCAGCTGGATGGACTGTGTCTCTCAGCTGGATGGACTGTGTCTCAGCTGGATGGACTGTGTCTCAGCTGGATGGACTGTGTCTCAGCTGGATGGACTGTGTCTCTCAGCTGGATGGACTGTGTCTCAGCTGGATGGACTGTGTCTCAGCTGGATGGACTGTGTCTCAGCTGGATGGACTGTGTCTCAGCTGGATGGACTGTGTCTCTCAGCTGGATGGACTGTGTCTCAGCTGGATGGACTGTGTCTCAGCTGGATGGACTGTGTCTCTCAGCTGGATGGACTGTGTCTCTCAGCTGGATGGACTGTGTCTCAGCTGGATGGACTGTCTCTCAGCTGGATGGACTGTGTCTCTCAGCTGGATGGACTGTGTCTCAGCTGGAGGAACTGTGTCTCTCACCAATTTGAATTATGAAACACTCAGAAACTTCATATGATCCATGTTTTGTGTTGAGGAGGAGGCTCATTTGATTGCTAGACTGAAATCTGTGGTGATTCGTCTGCAGTTTTGAGTCAGGGGCGGGTAATTAGGGCTGTGTCAATTATCAGATATATATCAATATTTTAAAATTGAATACATTATAGCTGTTTTATTTAGGAATATATATATATATATTTATTTTATATATATATATATATTAATTGTCCACTCACCTGGCCCTCCGTGGGCGGTTATCCCTCTCTAAGCTCGGGTCCTCTACCAGAGGCCTGGGAGCTTGAGGGTTCTGCGCAGTATCTTTGCTGTTCCTAGCACTGCACATTTCTGGACCCAGATGTCCGAGGTTGTTCCGGGGATCCGCTGTAACCACTCTTCTAGCTTCGGGGTCACTGCCCCGAGTGCACCGATCACCACGGGCACTACTGTCACCTTTACCCTCCAGGCCCTCTCCAGCTCCTATATATATATATATATATATATATATATATTTATATATATATTAACAGCTACTAATAGGAGCTGTTAACAGCTCCTATTAACAGCTACGCCCTGCCAGTGATCAGATACCCTGCAGGAATAATCAGGTGGCCAAAGGAAGAGATTCAGACCACGTATGTTAAAACTCGAAAGCTCCTTACCATGCATGGCGGGTTCCATCCCAAATCCAGCACCCTGAGACTGTACGTAAGCCGTAAAGAAGGAGGCGAGGACTAGTGAGTGTGAGAGCCACTGTCCAGGACAAACATCCAAACTCCAGAACTACATCATGGAGAAGGCCAAAACGGATGACGTACTCAGTGAATGTCTCAGGCAGTGGCGAGATGAGAAGGTGCTGGAGGAGAGCCCATCATGGGAGAACAAGCCCCTACACGGCATGTACCACCGGAGGATAGCAGAAGTGGCTGATCTCAAGAAGTCCTACCAATGGCTAGAAAGGGCTGGCCTACAGGACAGCACAGAGGCACTCATCATGGCTGCACAGGAACAGGCCCTGAGCACCAGAGAGGCCCAGATATACCACACCAGACAAGACCCAAGGTGTCGGTTGTGCAAAGAGGCACTTGAGACGATCCAACACATAACTGCAGGGTGCAAGATGCTGCAGGGAAGGCCTACATGGAACGCCATAACCAAGTGGCTGGCATAGTGTACAGAAACATCTGTGCAGAGTATGGGCTGGAAACCCCAAGGTCTAAGTGGGAAACTCCTCCAAAGGTGGTGGAGAATGAGCGTGCAAAGATCCTGTGGGACTTCCAGATACAGACCGACCGAATGGTAATGAACCAACCTGACATTGTGGTGGTAGACAAAGGGCAGAGGACAGCCGTGGTGGTGGACAAAGGGCAGAGGACAGCCGTGGTGGTGGACAAAGGGCAGAGGACAGCCGTGGTGGTGGACAAAGGGCAGAGGACAGCCGTGGTGGTGGACAAGGGCAGAGGACAGCCGTGGTGGTGGCAAAGGGAGAGGACAGCCGTGGTGGTGGACAAAGGGCAGAGGACAGCCGTGGTGGTGGACGTGGCAATTCCAAGCGATGGTAACATCCGGAAAAAAGAACATGAAAAGCTTGAGAAATACCAAGGTCTCAGAGAGGAGCTGGAGAGGGCCTGGAGGGTAAAGGTGACAGTAGTGCCCGTGGTGAAAGGTGAGTGGACAATTTTTTTTAAAAATATATATAAATATATATATATATATATAATTTTCCGATTTAGTCTCTTTTCCATTATTTCGATTTTTTGATGTTACAAACAGAAGCTTGAGATGATTTTTTTCATCAAATGTAATGCACCAATAATAGCTTTAAGATACCAGCCAAAAGCCTTTTTTACTGTGTTGTATTTTTGTTTGATTGTATGACTATATTTTTGACTGTGCGCACGTGTCTCCTGCAGCCCTGAACATACGTTCTAAGTTTATCAGTCCAGGTCTCAGTTCAGGTCTCAGTCCAGGCCTTGGATTCTGCAGCTGCAGATTGAAACATTGTTTCTCTTTGATGGCCCACTCTGGATCAGCCAATCAGAGTAGCCTACGGTCCCGCCCCCTGTGCACTTAGTATCACAGCCTAAAACTAAACATGTTTAAATGTTTTGTTTTAACACACACAGTACAGGAAAGGGCTTTAACACGAGTTCACCAGGAACAAGTTTCATTTGAAAACTTTGAAATGTTGTAATTGTAAAATTAATAAGTAAAAAACTATATTTTTTGAGGGAGAAAGAAACAGCTTGCAGGTGGATTTAACCAATCACAACACTGTGTATCTTAACCAATGAGAGCGCACAATGAGCCACGCGTGAAACGAATGCACGTTCTGTCTGAGTTCACGTGCACACGAGGACCACGCGAGGAGCACACGGCGACGAACCGGAGAGATGGCGCGTGAGAGCAGAGCCGATGCGGTAAGTACCTCTGTCTTATTTCTGTGGGTAAAGTGAGTGCTTTTCATTGTAATAACTCCGGCCAAAGTAACTTCTCCGTATCAAATCCAATGTTTTAAATACAAAACGTGGTGCTCAGCGGTAAGTTCGTTTGATGGCGGCGTGGGTCTGCGCATGGGTCTGTGTCTGGGTCTATGCGCGGGTCTGGGTCTGTGCGTGGGTCTGGGTCTGTGCGTGGGTCTGTGTGGTTCTGTGGGTCTGTGCGTGGGTCTGTGCGTGGGTCTGTGCGTGGGTCTGCGCATGGTTCTGTGGTTCTGTGTCTGTGCGCGGGTCTGTGGTTCTGATCTCTGAAACTTCGAAAAAGATGGAGGCCTTCTAAAATCAATTGCTGAATTATGAAAATTGTATGAGCAAGCGATTATTATTTTATTTATTTTTTCCCCTTGGTCTGTGAAATGCACTATATATTCTCGAGGTCGGACATCCGGGAACTTGGACTCCCATAATGCACTGCGCGCGCATAGCAACGCGGCGAAGGGTAAAACAAACCAGCGCCCGCCATTAAGCAACACGAAGCGAAAGACAAACGAGCGTTACAAAACATGCCGAAAAACTGTTGTATTGTTGGTTGTACCAACAACAGCGTAAAAAGGAGTGACCTATCCTTTTACATGATCCCTAGCGAGGCAACTGAGCCAGAAAGGAGAGAGAAATGGCTCCAGCTGGCTTCGAGCTACTCAGTGGGAATCTTTAGATTTTGTCACTTTGCTCCTTGAACAGGAAAGAAGAACAACAACCCCGCACACCCAGATTACACTCCGTCCATTTTCCCGCAAGCAGTGCTGAAGGAATTGACTAAGAGTACCACACTTGATCGCTTCAAGAGAGCACAGAAAAGAAAAGGTAAGTTTGCTACTCACAGTACCCTATCGTTAACAGAAAAAAAACCCCATCAAACTGTAGTGTGATCAACATGCATCTAGTTTGCTCCTAGATCAATGACCAAAAATTATCTGAATTTGTTTGACACAACACTTGAAATTTAAAACTAAAAAATTGCAGTCGATTTTGTTTATGCAGACATATATATAGTAGCAAATTGTGTTTCTTGCTCTTATTTTACACTGCAGTAAAACCGTACCTGCAGATAATGAGCTGCATTTCCAATCCACAGTTAAGAATTAAAAGATTCCATATTGCAATGAGGTTGTGTACAACAATTGATACAAGCACCTTGTGAAATAGAATGTTGTCCCCCATATGAAATACATAAATAAAAAATACATGTTGATTTCTAATGACAAATTTGAAAAAGTAGTACTTGGAAGGTTAACTGCTAAAAATCTGTGTAAAAATACAGATTTTGCTAACAAATGTATTTTCCTTGAAAACAAAATTACCTCCTGTATGAAAAAGTCATTGCATCTACAAAGTAACTAGTCATGCAGATTTTTGTACATAATGCCTAGCCTGGAAATTCTTGGTAAGATGGTATTTATAGTACAAAACTAGTCTACTGGTCGCTGCTTTCTAGTCATAGTCGACTATTATGACTTGTCGTCCCAATCCAACTCAATACTAAATATACTGCCGTTTAGTAACACCAGGAAGCCGAGTGAGTGAGTGGTTGGTGGTGGTCGGAGGGGCCGATGGCGCAAACTGGTCGCCTCGCTTCAGTCAGTCTACCCCAGGGCAGCTGTGGCTATAATAGTTGCTTACCACCACCAAGTATGGAGTGAATGAATAGTGCAATGTTAAGCGTCTTTGAGTGTCCAGAAAAGCACTACATAAAACTGATGCATTATTATTATTATTATAAATATGAGGCCATGACTTAAAATTTCTGTGATCATTTGCAAAATATATACCTTTTATTTTTTTCAGCACCATTCACTACTCTAGTATCACGAAAGGAAGGTGAAGAAGCAACTGGAATTTGAGGAGACAAGTGTCCCAGAAGAGTTGCAACAAGAAGTGTCAACACCCTGCATGGAAATGCAAGACCTGCAGCAGACGGAATTAGGCATTGACAAAATCAGCGATGATTCGGTCTCCACCATCATAATACTAAATACACCTGAAACAAAAGAAAATGAAGAAAGGGAAATAATTTTATTTTTATACATTAACATATCACATCTAGGAGAGTGACAATTGACCAGAGCAAAAACACTGACAAATTGCAAGTAAATGATACAAATGTTTTCATGTCAATCTTCACGTCTTTTAGTATTTCTACTTATACAATGTCTAATAAACTATTTCTCATTAGAAATGTTAAAGTCTTGCTGTTGTCGTTAGACACTACATTCAATAAAATGTAATCTGATGACTGGTTATTGCAAAAAATAACCAGTCATAAAAAGTGTGAATAGAGGGTATGCCATTTTACTTTAAAATTTAAATAGAAATGTAATCTCAAATGAATGGACACATTGAGGGGCAAATCAAATAATAACAAAATAATACCAATGCCATGCCACTGTTTTCTGTTGCTATGTTATGACATCGCTATGCATAATGGTCGGCAGCTCTACACCGATAAGCAACAATGAAATGCACTAGTTGTGTGGGGAATAAGTGGAATTTCTGCAGTTAGCCTTTTTTGGCTTTTGAAAAAAAC